AATTAAAATTAATTCAAAATTATAAAATTTGAATTAAGTATTAGGTAAAAGGGGTTTGTGTGAAACATTATCCAACGAAGCAATCTTTTCTTGGCTCCTACATGGCATACAGCTCACTATAAGCAAAGATTTTCCCGTCCTATTAACTTGAAACCTCGTAATTTGGCTGTTTTTGATGAGCGTCTAGTTGTATGTCCTGGACAGCTGCTATTGTAGGGGCTGAGTTCCCCAGACTCAATACTCAGTAATTATAATTATCTTATTTTACCAAAAATTAAAATTAAAAAATTCCCACCTCAAGTGTACATAAATTCTGAATCCAATGTTATTAGCTAGCCATAATTTTTCTGTATCCCTTGTAAATCAATTGTAATCTACAACAAAATCCCTCAAAGACAGTATGAAAGCAATGATTATGGTAATATGATGCGTCAGAACTTGCTCTAAACATGAACTTATAAGCTAAATTGTAAGGTTTTTATCTGCAGAAGGCAATCAAAGAATTTGTGATGTTGAGTGGTTTCCAGATTTTAGGAGCAATATGCAAAGGAGGAAGAGTAGTTCCTTATTATTCTTTGCTATGGAGTTGGAATCATTTTAACGGAAGAATGGTAATGCAGTAATACCTGGAGAAGTATTGCAAGATCTCTTGAGAGATTAAACACCGTTATGCTTCAGAGCTTTGGTTAATCTTGATATGACATTATATGCTTGATAGGATCTTCTAAGTTCAATGACGGAACCCGCCTAACAAAAAGGAAGGAACTTTAGGGGGAAAAAAAAAGCAGACAGTCCATAAAACATCTTTATCACTAAAACAACCCTGGGTTGCTCTCTCGTGGTTGTTGAGTAAATATTAACCCTTTTTTAGAAGGAAGAGATCCCAGGTTCCATCCCTCAGTCTCCCCTTGGCTTCCCACATCCAGGTAAAGAATGTCCCATGACTAAGGGCGTTTTTGGTTGGCACCTTACCTAAAATTACAATGCACCCGCTCCAAATGCCGTAGGAAGAAGAATTAGGGGGTTAGTCCACTTTTAGTGGACTAAACTCTATAGAAAAGCTCTGATTCTTTTCTTCCGGTTTTTTCAAAAGGAAGGAGAATCTTGGGATTCTAAGGACATTTGCTGACTAAAAGGAATGATTTTGAGGCCCTAATGAAATACAGTAAAATTAGTCGACTAAAGGAATCAAAAGCTGGGCCAAGCCGTGGCCGTTTTTAGGTAACGTCCCTGATTTTGATTCTGGGATCTGCCTAAATGAAACACGCACTCAGAGTATTTCATTAAATTTTACCATATCAGGCAAAATTGGATCTAATCTGAAAATTCGATCCAACTTATTTGTTATGAGTTGAGTTATGGATCCTATGTATTAATTCAAAATTTGAAATTTGAAATGACCTAAACTAAAATTAGTTGAATCCAAATGAGTTAGGTCATAGATGAGTTGGGCCACCAACGAGGGGTTGGATCAAGTGGCAAGCGGTTTGTTCCAGCTTAAGTAAGGTCTCGAGTTCGAAACCTTGTGTACACAGCAGTCTTCGTTGGGAGACCCACCCACCATTTTGGTGCGCCACAGCTGGTCGAGTCCGGAGTAGTCAGAGCAAAGTCCCGGGCGGGAAACCAAAAAAAATAGATGAGTTGGGCCACTCAAAATAACCTGAACTTTTTTTATTCATTTTTTGTTTAATTATTTAAAAATTAATTTTAAATTTCTAATTTTATAATCTTAAAAGTAAAAATAAATAAAATATCTAAACTCTAACCTCTCGTCAGTTTTACTTTCTCTCAACTTTTCTTCTTCCCAACTCTCGTTCTCCTTTTTTTCATCTCAAGCTCTCTAGTCCTTCTCTTTGGTGGCACTCACATTAAAAATAAGATTAGATGGATATAGTTAGCTGTGTTATATGGCACTATCAAAAAGAACTTAAAAAAAATATATAGAAAGCAAAAATGCCTATTAAAAATCAAAACCTAATAATTGAGATACCTTCATTACCATTAGAAGTACAAAGACAAGAACATTAAAAACATCAAGGTTCGTCCTTTGTTGTTAATTTGTTCTTTGTTAATAAAAATCAATCTCGATTCAATTTTTTTTTGTATTTGTTTAGACATATTTTGGATTTACTTTTTGAACTTTAATATTAAATAGGGTTATATTTTGTGTATAATGTCCTAAATATTGAATAAAATTGTATTTTTTGTATAATACCCTTATAAATATTCAATAGACATTAGATATTAATATATATATATATATATACATAGATATTGGATTTATCTTTTGAACTCTAATCCTCCATGTCTCTTTTTTTAATAAAAGTTAATACCCTTATGAAATTATGAATTCTAAATATTATATAGACATTATATATTTGACATATATTTTAGTTTTATCTATATAATCAATAATTTTTCCTTTTTCATTTCTTGAAATTGGAATAAAAATTGAATCATGAAAAAAATTAACGTTTAATAAGATTTCTAACTAAATAATTAATTAGTATTAAAAAACATATAGAAAATATAGAAAATTTATATTTTTTTATCTTTGTTAATTAGTTTGATTTTAGTTAATTATATT